CCGGCTCGTGCGAACATGCCTAGGCCAGTGCCATGAACCCCTTCTACCCTCCCGAGGCGATGGGCCAAACGTCAGTGTGGATTCGTTTGACCCAGTCAGCTCAGCCAGTCAAATGCGCTCAGCCAGTCTACTTGAATAGGAATTTTCGAAACACTTTGGATCTGGCACAGGATTGCTTGATCCATCCAATTACTTCTTCCCTGCTTCAAGGAAGAAGGGGCACACAATTTGTCTGTATTAGAATACGCCCCTTTTTTCTGAAAGTTTGCATCAGCATTTGGACACTTCCGTCCGAAGGAATACTACAAGAAGTCATCTTAACTTGTGAGTGCAAAAGGCCAGAAGTTCATCATGTAAAAATAGTTAGAAGAATATCAAGAATCAAAACGGGACGCACCAGAAGAAACAACCAGAAAGGAGGACACAGAACCAGAATCAACGAAAAACTAACGCTGACAGCAAACAAAAAAGGAACACCAACTGGAAGAACTTTGAACAACAGAGAAAAACCAAATCTTGACTCAAATAAAGACTCAAGATTCAATCAGGAATACTCAAGTGCTTGGCCAGTGGAGGCTCAGTGTGTTTCTTTTATAATGTGCTCTGAATATGGTTTTTTCCTTCGAGTATGTGTTTTCTTTTTTGTTGAACGTTTTTCCTTTGCGCAAAAACAGATAATCAAACAAGCATCCAGACTCAAACCTAGACTCAGCTCCAAACTCAGGCGGACTCAGACAAGTGACTAAACCAGACTCAGGCCCAAACTCAAGTTTAGGAACACCTCGCCTTTCCATCCCAGCTTGACTTCTTGCACTTGATCTTCCTTGATCATTTGTTTTGTTTTAAATTTGTTGGTTTTATTGTTAGTTTTCAAATGGATCTTGACTTTTCTGGCAAAATTGAAGTCACAAAGCTTATTGTTATTGCCTGGGCCGTGTATATAGTTGGCTTGGTTTTCATGTGCCGAGAAGAGGGGTTGAAGGCAGCCTGGCCAGGCTCTACCTAAGAACGATGGGAAAGAGGCTGAGGCGAGCGTCCGGTGATTGAATCAAGAGGAAGCCAGCTTTGGCTTACTTACTGTAATGGCCTCCAACCTACTTGCGCTGGCCTCGACCCTACTAGCAATGACTTCCAACCGAATATCGATGGCCTCCAACCTACTTGCTTTGGCTGTAAACTTGGTCTTGTTGAGTTTTGGGAGGTTTGAGATGGTCTGTCTTTCCGCACTCGGAGGTAACTTTCTGTGGCCACTTTTGCTGTTGCCGGAAGGCTGCGGTACCGTGGGGTAACAACTAGCCAAACCACTGTCGAAAGCTTGCAAACCACCCGCAAACCCAACATAACCCAACATCTCTCGAAATGACTTGCAAAATACCGACACTGAACCAAGTTCGGAAACTCTTCTCTAAAACAACCCCCAGCAACCAACATTAAAACAATCCACGAAATCCATCTAGGCGGAAAGTCTCTCTCTCTCTCTCTCACACAGCCATCCTTAGACAACCACAGACTTCTCCTTGACGTTCTTGGAACCCTAAGCCGGTGACCAACTCCGTGAACCCACCAGGTCGAGGGACCTCCGGGACCTCCGGGCGACGGCGACCCTTCGGTGGACCTCACCCGCGAGCGCAGCCGACGCTTGGGTGTGGGACGGCGATGGACGGCGTATTTATTTGGGTTGATTGAGGTCGGCTTTTCACATTGTTTTGGACACAGACCATGGACATGGGGTCTTGTTGAACGGATTAGGGCACCAGAACTTTAGGTTCGGGAACCAATGGTCCCTTTTGGAAGTTTTGGATGGGTCATGGAGCCAAAAGCAAGTGTTTTTCTTTTGCACGTTTAAGTGAGTGTGATGTGCGGAAAATATGCGGGTACTTTTAGCTCCTTGCTCCGTTCGTAGCAGTGCCCTTTGTTAATAGCTTCTTGTTACCGTCGTAGCGATGCCAGGAGCGCCCCGTTCGTAGCGTCCGATCGCGTTCGTTCGTAAAAGCTGTACAAAGAAGCTGTACAAACAAGTTTGGACAGCTTACTGCTTTGGTAGAATTTAGAGATGGTGGGTCATTTACACGGTATTTGAGGTGCAACGAGCAAATGACTTGGCCAAAGGGAGACAGTAGGTGAGTTCTCACGGTGGGGGGGCCCCCATCCCTGGCTTTGGGGATTTGTAACGGACGCTAAAAAAGGTTTTCATGCGAATTAAATACTTCTTCGGGGACCACTTTGCCCTGGAAAGTGCTGGTGGGTAAGCCAAGATACTTGTGCGGTCTTTTTTCACTTCCTGGACGCATTTGCTTCGGGTCGCGAGAGAGAGAGAGAGAGACGTTCATTATTCCTAATGGATCTTCTATGAGGGGATATATTATTTCTAAAGACAGAGTCATGAGTGTTTTTTTCTTCGCAAGAGGCGTTTGTTAGCCAAGTTCACCAGAGATTGACCTGTGAATTCTGCAGACCTGCCATGATTGACAACGCCACAAAAGGAGAACCGATGCAAAAGACTACGCCATCGTAGAATCACAACAGGAGTTCCAAAAAAGACACCGACGGAGAACCGACGGAGAACCTAGCACCTCTGTCTTCAGCGACGACTCAGGAAGCCGATCGGGCAAGCGAAAGGAATAGGATGGCCAGGCCCTCCGGGGTCGAGCCGCTTGGTGCCTTCACCGAGGGTGGGAGGGTGTAACTGAAAGTGGAAGAGGGATTTCTGAGTTGCAGAGAACTAGTAGCAAGGTGCCTTACTAGTAGTAACAAGCTACTAGTAGTAAGGCACCTTGCGACAAGTAGCTTCTTGTTACTAGTAATGCCAATGTTACTAGTAGCGATGATATTCCAAAAAGGAATCACTTCAACAGGTGCCAGGTATTTGGGCCTGAATGTTTTAGGAACACCAACCTCACAGGACCAGGACCTGACATCCATTTGAACATCCTCAACGGTTCCTAGCTGGAAAGGGCTGGACCACGATCCCATTGCCATACTCTGAGGAAGATGTTTGCGTGAAGTGACAGCCTCTTTCCCGTGATGGGCGGTTTTGACCAGTAGAGAGTTGTGTTTGTGGTCGTCTTCACTTGTAAAAGACCGCGCTTTCGTTCGAAGTGCGGTAGGTTGTCTTTGACACGGGAAGCCGTCTCGCCACCACAGGTGCCCGCTGAGAGAGGTCGAGTTGAGAAATCGGTGAGAAGTCTTTTGACGCGAGGAAGTCCGCGGATTTTCACGAACTGGACAAACGGTTTTGGTCGCCGGTCAAATGGTTGGGTGTCACGAGTGACAAACTATTTATATCTTTTTAAATATATACTGCATGTAGTGTTGGCAGCCTTCACCACTGGTCTCAACAGAATTCCGAAATGGAATGCGTAGTCTTTTTAAATCACTAGTGGGCTGAACAGTCATAGAAGCTTCTTAATTAAGATGCAAGGGAATTCAAGAAGAACAGTCAGCAGATGGCGAGTCCAATTCCAGCAAGCTTCGGACCAACACGTGTGACTCTCACCTAGATCAGCTGTCCGGACCAATTGGAGTACCATCCAAATGGTGGGATGTAAAGACAGAAACAGCAAATGAATCTTAATCAAAATAAATTGTTTCTTCTAAGAAGCATACCCAAGTCTTCTTCTCAGAGGAAGCCCCACCCGAGCGCCTTCCGCGCGTTTCGCAAGACTTGACGGATTATCAAGCGTCGAGGGTTGATCTGAGCTTTGCTCAAGGCCTTGGATCTTGCCATTTCGGCGAGACGAGGGATTTTGCTGGCACAGCCAGCCACAGAACCTACGGGATCGCGCGATCAAAAGAGAGAACTTTTGGGGATTCTGAGAAGGTGCTGGCTGAAGCGGTCGATCAACTCTCAAGGAACGAGGGTGCTGAACTGCTGAAGTTCTACTTTTGGGGCTGCGAGACCGAGACCATCGGGATTTGGCGAGGAAGATTAGACGTAACTTGAACCATTTCAAGGTTGTTTGTCAACCATGCAGGACAGAGAGGGGCCACAGGTTTGAGGTGCACACAAAAAGTAACCAAGCACTCTATCAAGCTTTAGGACAATGAATGAATGATTACTGATGCGGACTTTGGCTTTTCTAAGTTGATTTGCATGCGTTTCTGTGAATAGCCTCGGGCATTTTTGGGGTTCCTCCCTCATGTGCCAAGGAGGCAAGACTAGACCATGAAGATGACAAGATTGCAAAAACATCTTCTGACACCAAACCACCTGAGATATGACCAGTCCACTGATCATGTTCAGGGTTTCGTAGCGGATGACAGTGACAGCCTGGTAGGTATTATGCCCGTGACAGTGGCGCTTCAGCAGCAAGGTTAGTCAGAGACTTCAGATCTGCGGAGAGAAACACCCGCCAATCGGCTGATCGCGTGGGGCCGGGAAGACAAAGAATTGGGGACGCTCCGCCTCCAACCTACTAGCGATGGCCTCCAACCTAGTAGCGCTATGGCAGGTAGAAGCCCAATCAATTCAATCCCAAATTGTTTTGGCTCTCTTACCAGTCCTTCATTTTTATACATAGCGACAGCCAGACCTTTCAGATTTGAATTATATCGAAGAAACCAAAATAGACAGAGTGGAAACCATGTCATGTAGAAAACCAATTGATTTGTGCTTTGCCCTGGAAAGTATACTCTGTGGGAAAAGCCCTGGTCCCTGGAAATGTGTCTTTGGATTTATTTGAGCATTGACAACTTGTGCTTTCTTCAACATCGACAGTGGTCATACCAAAAAGGCCGTTTGATGTCCTTAATCTTTCTGAATTGGTTTACGGGACAACCTATGAAACCATGGTGTTCACCCCAAAATCCAAGGGTTTTCTGTAATTCTTCCCTTAAACCAATTGTGCGACTTAATAGAATGGCCGAAACCTTGAAACCCTTCATCGAAAAACACTGGGGTGGTCTGAGGATGCCTCAAACCTCATCGACCTTCAGTTCTTTGAGCAAAGTGGATTTCTCTCAGAAGCAACGCATCGGCAGACGCAGACTTCGTGCGCCAGGCTGGCGCCAACGGCGGCCTCCGCCTGCCAACGGCTTGTCCGCTGCTTCGACGGCGCCCACACCTGCAGGTGGAGCAGCAGGCATAGAGGTGCCAGTGCAGGTGGTGCAGGCGGGAGATGCTGCTGGGATATCATCCACCAAGTTCCGTAGGAGTAGACTGTTGATGAATAAATACCCCTACCAGGATGGTCAAGCATTTTCATATGAAGGCGTTGATTCAGCAACATCCAACAGTAGACCTCAATAGAGTCAATCCAAAAGCGGGTCCTCCCATCTGCTATGAGATCATTGTAGTTTATATGTGGGGGGGTCCATGCAGTTCTATGTGCTGCTTACCTAAACTGATTTGTTTGAGTTGTACCTTGGCCGTTTGCGTGCTTTCTTCCTCATCGGGACACGCGTTCTTCTTCGTTGTGCTTGCACCTTTGGGAGGTCCAGAGTGGAACTTGTTGTGAACTGCATGGAGTGGATGGACCGGCTTGCAGAAGTGACCGAATGGAAGTAGATTAGATCTTACGACTGTCCAGACCCTAAGGAACCTCGTTCGGATGGCCCAGTTTATCAGCAGTCCGAGAGAGGTGAAAGACTTCCCAGAAGCCCGTGGATGTACCTAGGAGCCCTGAGGCCAACGCTCTGCCCCCCTTGGCCTCAGTGGATGACTGTTCCGTGTGCGCTGCCACATCCAGGTGGAAAAGGAGTGGGGTGGTGCAGATTCCGATGACAGCGAGGATGGCGCGACCTCTGTTGCCAAAGCAGGTGGAACTTGCTGGGAAGCAGTGGAGTTGTGGAGGCCATCGCTATCAGGTTGGAGGCCAAGGCCATCGCTATTAAATTCAATAGACGGGAGGAACATGTTCCTTTGGGATTTGAACGAGAGTAACAAGAGGGGCTGACCGTGGGCAAATGATAGCGTTCAGTCCTGCTTGCGGTCCCTTCTCTTCCAATGCACTCAGTGATGTACCCGAACGTACCACAACTGTATGAGGTTTGTTTCCTTGTGTAGAATGGGGATGTCTTGCAGATGTCGCTGCGTGACTTGAGATAAACTTCATCTAACATCCTTCAGGGGAAGCACGGCGCAGACAGCTGGCGCAGAGGGAGGAAGCCTTGGCTTGGGATGCCCAGTGTCGTCCAGTGAGGTGGATTTTGGCCACTCGTGGCACAACTCGGGAATCACCTGTTTGTCAGACAACATTTGACGAACACATGCTTCTTGGACCCCTGTTTCAGGATCGCATTTCACACACGCCCAAGTGAACGATAGGGGAACGGAATGGAAGGGATGGGTGCAGGACACTTTCAACCACCAAAGGCCACTGGGGTCTTGCGGCATTCCGACAAGCAACGAGGACATGAGAAGACCTCACTCATTTAGAGTTCAACTGGTGAAACACCCATCCCAAGGGTTGTTGATGTCTGCATTGGACATGTTGGCAGCTCTGAAACTGTTTGCTTGTTTCAGACGAAAGCCTGCGGAAGTGGAGAAAAGCCCGGTCCTTCTATTCCAGGTAATTGATATTATTTGAGTTCCTTCTTGCCAAGATGCTTCACTGAAGTCAGACACACCCATCCAAAGATGTTCTTCATGACAAGTCCACGTTTTCCTGATCTTTGGAGTTTCTTTGAGACGGAAAGGCGGCGAAGCATTTTTTAATTCGCTGCAGGCGGCAGCAGTGAGTGAGACCTTCAGCATGAAGGCACGCCACAGCGAGGTGGAGGACGTTGATCCCCTAGTAGCGTCCTTGCTCCTAGTAGTAAGGCCAGGAAGACACATGGATTGTGTCTTTCTGTGCGGTGATACAGCAATGAAGACACGTATAGATGTTGTGACTTGATGTAGATGTAGTTGTTACTTGAATGGCCTGGTGGGAATTTCTTGCGTGAATCCTCCTACGCTACAGCCAGGCACAGGGCCCGCCCGCGGAGCCTGGCCCCACGCAGCCGCCGAGCCGTGCACCGTCGGTGACGAGTGAAGCGGACACAGGCGACGAGCGACGGTCGCTTCGCCGAGTCGCGGGTGTCGACCGGTCGGGCGACACCGGTCGGGTGTCGCAACGGAGACGTCGAAGAAAAGGTGTTCAATGACCCCGCAGCTTTTTTTCCGGAGACTGGAGGAGTTTGGTTCTCCAAATCCCGTTTGGTTCTCTGACAGACAGAAAAAGGAGACTTGGGATTCTCCAAAGAGGTGGTGGCTCATCCAAGTGCGTGAGTAGGTTGGAGGCCATCGCTACTAGGAAAAAGAAGCTATGAACGGGGCTCCTGGCCTTACTACTATAGAGCAAGGACGCTACGAACGGAGCTCCTGGCATCGTTACGAACGGAGCGATCGGACGCTCTTCGTAGTGACTTGCTTAGTCGTCTACGACCTCCGACGACCGGCGACTTGTGGAGGCCGTGGAGGTCGTCGGTCTCGCCGTGCATCGGTGCGCATCAAGAGGACCAGGACGGATGGGCGGGACGCGGTGGATGCGAATGCAATGCAAATGGGTTTGGATGCGAAGCAGGAAGCAGGAAAGGTTGGTGTTTTGAAGCGAATGGGGTTTAGTATGGTTTAGTGCACCCTAGGGCATGCGGACCTATAGGCTTTCCTTTTAAGGATCACGTTGAAACACCCGTTTTACTGGTAGCTGAGTCTGCCGCCAATGACGGTGAGGCGGTCTCACCTGCGCAACGTAGCAGGAGCTTTCGCACAGGCCAGAAGTGGATGGTCTTGGGCAGAACTCCATTGGACAATGTGCAATGCCTTTGGTTCAGCTCATCGCACAAACTGGGTACGATTTGGCAGTGTTGAAGGGATAGCTATGCGGTTGACCTCATTTCGGAGGGTAAGACATGCAAAGGAACCGACGCAAAACGACCACACATGCATTATTCAATCGAAGCATTTCGGCTTGGGTTCCGCCCACCTTGGATTGCATGTGGCATGGAAAGCTGAAACTATTATAAACGATATACCGTCTTATATACAGTGATTACAGAAGCCGCAAGAAACACTTTTTCTCGAATTCATGCATCTCTCTCCGATCAGATGGAAGCACGAAGAACCAACTGTTCGGACCACGTGGAGCGGAAACGAAGACCGCGGAACCAGGTCCTGTGAGTCCAAAAAGACCCGTCAGACTCCGGCAGCGACCTCCACTTCAACGGGTCCTGGTCACTTAAGGAACCGAAATGCCAAGTGCGAAGGGGACGATTCAGGACTCGTGTTGTTTTGCGATTAGGTCTTCTGTCCACTTCTAGAGCTTTACACTCCATGAATCAGTGAACACGTAGTGTGAGAGATTCTTTGGCAGGGACTTTGTCCTGAATTCTTCCAATACTTGGATGCTAAGATGAACATGGACTTCCCTGTCTCCAAGAGAGCTTACGAACCCGCCTGGAACGAGTCTTCTTGCTCCTTGCAGACTTTGTGAAGCGCTGCTGGGGAGCGATGGCTGGATGTGGGGAGCCTTGGGTCGAGCGAACCGGGCCAAACATGGAACCGTTGAGGCGGTGAGATCGGAAGGGAGAGAAGTCGCTTCTTGTTACTAGTAGTAAGGCACTTGTTACTACTAGTAAGGCACTTGTTTCTAATAGCTTCTTGTTACT